TTCATTACTTGAACACTAGAGAAACACATTCTGATTACTCAGCTTCACACCCATAACAGATACACATACATTACAGAATACTGACTTTAGAGGTAAGTTGACTTTTAACAGATATTATGGTTGATTTATCACAATTTACTTGTAGAGATAAATTAACCCCTGACAATCTTGATAAAAGAGTTAGCACAAAGGATCACATATAAAGTGTAATAAACTTAAAATAAGACCCAAAACTCGAGCGCTTTCGAATAGTTGACTATTCTTCTTCTGGTGGTCTGTAACAAATTCATTTTCCCTTTATATCCACTAACAGAAACCCAAATGGATTCAATCTCCTTGCTGTTGTCTTTGATATCTTCAACTTCAACAGGACGTAACTCACATTTTATATATATAAAGACATTCCTTCCCCTCTCTTTAGTACTCTATCTCTATTAAATAACATATAACCCTGTATTTCTAAGAAGTATCTGTTATATAAATCATGTACATTTAACCATGTTTCAGTTATTCCCATTATATCAAAATCCTCTAGTTCTTATACTTCTAGCATTATGATAGTAACAATTACGCCTATCCTTAGATCCACTTCTGTACTTATTTCCTGTGCTAAACTTTTCTCTACATCTTATTGTTTTTGTATTTAGTTTATCCTTGTCCTCACTACTCTCTAGTCCTAGTTTAAAACTTCCCTTACAGCTGAGTTAATAGCCCTTGCAAACAAGCCAGCCCATACCCTATTGAAATGTAAACCATTCATTACAAAAACCTCCCTTCTCCCATTGAATTGATCCCACAAGCCCAACTAGCCTATCTGCTCATCTTTACTTATTAACCTAAGTCTAGCATTTAACCCTAGTGAACTACACATAATTTCATCCCCACAACTAATTCATGGCAGTATCCCTAACACAATGTTATGGCATTTTTCTTTAAATGCCTTTATCAACCCCTTGTACTTATTAATTAGCTTTTCTGACCTACCTTTCCCTACATCTCTATAATTACATGTCCTAAGTCTAATGCTGTAGTACAGATTATAACACTAAGCTCTAAGTTAAAACTTTAACATTTCTGTTTTTATTTGCCAGTCTTATTAGATATAGTTAATCATTTGTTATTCAAACCAAATCACTACAAATTATAACATTAATATTAGATAACATTCAAAAATCTATAACAGCTTATCTTTCCAATGTCTTCTCTCTTCTCTAGTGCCATTTCAGCAAAAAATTAGAAAAGTTATCATTATAAGATGTAATAAGAAAATAAATGCTTTAACTGTTATAAAATTCATAATAGTTATGTGAGTGTACAACGTTGATATGTGCAATATGGAAATATTTAACCTAACAGTGCAGTCACTTTTCATATTTATAAAACTTTATTATCACACTTACCAAATGCCTTGTTTATGATTTATGTATAAGTAATGAGAAACCAAAGTGTGTTTTCTAGTGTTGAAGTAATGAGTGAGTCCTATCTGTTGAAGTAATGAGTGAGTCACTATTCTGTAATTTATGTGTATCTGTTATGGGTGTGAAGCTGAGTAATCAGAATGTGTTTCTCTAGTGTTCAAGTAATGAATTGACACATGGCTTCATTGCTAGAGGTAAGTTGACTCCTTACAGATATTATGGTTGACTTATCACAGTCTACTTGCAATGAAGCCATGTATCAAGTAGACTGTGATAAGTCAATTATATTATTTGTCAGGACTCATCTTACCTGTACAAGTAAAACCGTCCCCTGTATACCCTGATGCACAACGACAGTAGTACCTCTCCGAATCAGAACTGTACACACACTCTGCATGAGCATCACAAACATCAGGTTTCTCTCTGCACGATGTGCCTGGATGACATGTAAAACCATCACCAACATAGCCTTCCCAACATCGACATCGGTATCCTTGGGAACCAGGATCATAGAGACAGTCAGCACGCACGTCACATCTGTTCACCACATTACAGGGTATCTCCACTTGTCTACATATCTTTCCATCTCCTTGAAATCCTGATCTACACTGACAATTATATTGAAGGCTGAGATAGTCATAAATGCATTCAGCATTGACATCACAGTTGTTGACAATATTACAGCCTACACCTGTGAATAAAGAAATATATATATATATATATAAATGGTGAATTACCATACCCAGATTTACAGTGTATCTAAACCTGTTATACTACCCACGTTGATAAGGTACATCTAAATGTCACACTACCCAGGTTTACCTAGTGTATCTACATCTGTTATACTACCCATGTTGATAAGGTACATCTAAATGTTACACTACCCAGGTTTACAGTGTATCTAAACCTGTTATACTACCTATGTTGATAAGGTACATCTAAATGTTACACTACCCAGGTTTACAGTGTGTATCTACATCTGTTACACTACCCATGTTGATAAGGTACATTTAAATGTTACACTACCCAGGTTTACAGTGTATCTACATCTGTTACACTACCCATGTTGATAAGGTGCATCTAAATGTTACACTACCCAGGTTTACAATGTGTATCGACATCTGTTATACTACCCATGTTGATAAGGTACATTTAAATGTTACACTACCCAGGTTTACAGTGTATCTACATC